ATATGTTCCTGACGATATGTTAAGTAACGTGGCTACCTCCTTTCATATGAGCGCGACTTCGTTAAAGGACATATACTGAATCACAACTTTTTGAAATATGTAACAAAGGATCAAACAAAGTATACATTCACAAATGATTATTTTCAGCTGAAGAGTAAGCGTTTGTTGTCTCCAAAACACTTCACAGGGGAAAATGAAGCAGTGCATTATTTGGATAGCTAAGCATTGTCAAACATTGAAGAATTATCCAGAGCTAGTCACGTCAGTAAAAAGTTCTCTCAATTTACACGTACCATCGCGGTCTGTTTCTGTGAAACAAAGTAGCGTTCAGCTCGAGGTTAACTAAAAGAGTAGCATTAAAAATAACAAAATAAAGAATACAGGAAGCGTTCATTGGTGAAAATGTTACACACTGTTTCACTATCAAAATATTTGCAATTGACATATTATTTTTCTAACCGATAAACCGTCGGTGTGATAATCAGGTATAATTAGTTGTGCGGACAACTGTTTTTTCGTATGGAAGGAAAAGGGCAGCAGGAAAAAGGCAAAACGAAGTGATTGGTTGATATTATTTACGTGTTTTTATACAGTGGTAACAGCATTATATCATGGCACTTGAGGTGGTGCTCATTTATTGACCTCATTCTTATTACCTGCATTTATCCTGGCAACATATGTGACGGGGGTATAGCTCAGTGGTAGAGCATTCGACTGCAGATCGAGAGGTCCCCGGTTCGATCCCGGGTGCCCCCTCTCTATATATTTTTAAGTGAAATAGTCATCAGTAAAAGTACAAGGAAGTCACACGTATCATACCTGACTAAGACAATCCCACTTTTTGTCAGAGGAGTGTCTACCGTCTACAAGAAGTGTACAGCTAAATAGAAACGGTTCCGACTTTGTACCATGCATCCACAAATACAAAACAGAAATGTCAGTTCACACCCAAGCTAATTTTGAGCGCACGGGATGCTCATGACTTACCCTGATTGACAAAACAATGCCAAGTGGGTGACAGTTGAAGAGGACAAAAACAGTTGTCAGAAGTGGGATTCGAACCCACGCCGGGAGAACCCGACTGCGACCTGAACGCAGCGCCTTAGACCGCTCGGCCATCCTGACTGCTGATAAACTGAGCACACCTGTATAAACTATATCAGCGAGAGTTATATGTATTGGTTTAGACCGGGAAATGCATCCCACCCTCATAGAAAATAAGGTAATAAATCCAGTTTAGACCCCACAAGGGCGGATAAACTGCATATGTATACTTCAAGGAATGTATTGTGAAACGTTCAATGCATTTAAGTCGCCGAGAAATGAATGTACTGGACCTACGATGTGATATCAAGAAACATAGGGATATGGCGTGAGCCCCAGCATATTTTGCTGTGTGTCGGATACAATCAGACAGTTTTCTCTAGGGCACGCTCATTTATTGACCTCATTCTTATTACCTGCATTTATCCTGGCAACATATGTGACGGGGGTATAGCTCAGTGGTAGAGCATTCGACTGCAGATCGAGAGGTCCCCGGTTCGATCCCGGGTGCCCCCTCTCTATATATATTTTTAAGTGAAATAGTCATCAGTAAAAGTACAAGGAAGTCACACGTATCATACCTGACTAAGACAATCCCACTTTTTGTCAGAGGAGTGTCTACCGTCTACAAGAAGTGTACAGCTAAATAGAAACGGTTCCGACTTTGTACCATGCATCCACAAATACAAAACAGAAATGTCAGTTCACACCCAAGCTAATTTTGAGCGCACGGGATGCTCATGACTTACCCTGATTGACAAAAACAATGCCAAGTGGGTGACAGTTGAAGAGGACAAAAACAGTTGTCAGAAGTGGGATTCGAACCCACGCCGGGAGAACCCGACTGCGACCTGAACGCAGCGCCTTAGACCGCTCGGCCATCCTGACTGCTGATAAACTGAGCACACCTGTATAAACTATATCAGCGAGAGTTATATGTATTGGTTTAGACCGGGAAATGCATCCCACCCTCATTGAAAATAAGGTAATAAATCCAGTTTAGACCCCACAAGGGCGGATAAACTGCATATGTATACTTCAAGGAATGTATTGTGAAACGTTCAATGCATTTAAGTCGCCGAGAAATGAATGTACTGGACCTACGATGTGATATCAAGAAACATAGGGATATGGCGTGAGCCCCAGCATATTTTGCTGTGTGTCGGATACAATCAGACAGTTTTCTCTTGGGCACGCTCATTTATTGACCTCATTCTTATTACCTGCATTTATCCTGGCAACATATGTGACGGGGGTATAGCTCAGTGGTAGAGCATTCGACTGCAGATCGAGAGGTCCCCGGTTCGATCCCGGGTGCCCCCTCTCTATATATTTTTAAGTGAAATAGTCATCAGTAAAAGTACAAGGAAGTCACACGTATCATACCTGACTAAGACAATCCCACTTTTTGTCAGAGGAGTGTCTACCGTCTACAAGAAGTGTACAGCTAAATAGAAACGGTTCCGACTTTGTACCATGCATCCACAAATACAAAACAGAAATGTCAGTTCACACCCAAGCTAATTTTGAGCGCACGGGATGCTCATGACTTACCCTGATTGACAAAACAATGCCAAGTGGGTGACAGTTGAAGAGGACAAAAACAGTTGTCAGAAGTGGGATTCGAACCCACGCCGGGAGAACCCGACTGCGACCTGAACGCAGCGCCTTAGACCGCTCGGCCATCCTGACTGCTGATAAACTGAGCACACCTGTATAAACTATATCAGCGAGAGTTATATGTATTGGTTTAGACCCGGGAAATGCATCCCACCCTCATTGAAAATAAGGTAATAAAATGACGTCACGCTATTGTGTATTTGATTCCGAGCCTGGCCATTCTGGACAATATAAACTGACACTACTATAGTATTCTATGCAAACTGTTGATATTATTTCAAACATAACATGGTGCAAATCGACGAAATAACTCGAATATTTTATTCCGGAAGAAAAAATAGCAAAGAGATATGTGGACGATGGTGACAGTAAGAAAGTGTGGACGATGGTGACAGTAAGAAAGTGTGGACGATGGTGACAGTAAGAAAGTGTGGACGATGGTGACAGTAAGAAAGTGTGGACGATGGTGACAGTAAGAAAGTGTGGACGATGGTGACAGTAAGAAAGTGTGGACGATGGTGACAGTAAGAAAGTAAAAGTTCGAATTAGCTTCATCCAGATCACTGGAAGTGAGGAGAACTCCGCACAGTGGCTCTTTTGTCCTGCCCCATACACCGGTGTGCGATAAAAAACTCCTTTGTACACAATACATATAAAGCTGTGTTGTTGTGTCACAAATTTCATCCACACATTTAAAAATGCAAACAATTTTATTTACATAAGTTTACAAAAAATATTTGAAAACTGGATCAATAGCGAACATAGACGGAATGAAATAAGAAATTTAAAAACCCAAACATATCAGTCCCATGGTTGTACGCATATCATCACATTGGTGGTTTATACTGGAGCGTCACTTGTGGTTTGTACCACGAGACTCATGTCGAATGTTACCATTAGAAACCCATCCCGTTCATAGCATGATTTATATACATATAAGACAGAGAGATATAATCATGATGATGATGATGATGATGATGGTGGTGGTGGTGGTGATGTGATGATGATGATGATGATGATGATGATGATGATGATGATGATGATGATGATGATGATGATGATGATGATGGTGATGATGATGATGATGGTGGTGGTGATGATGATGATGATGATGATGATGATGATGATGATGATGATGATGATGATGATGATGATGATGATGATGATGATGATGATGATGATGATGATGATGACGACGGTGGTGGTGATGATAATGATGGTGTGTGTTCAATTACAGTTAAGGACGAAGCCAGTGAAATTAACGGGATATAAGCCAATTATATACAATGAAAGTGTAATGTTTCGGCTGGGTATCATAAAAAGGAGCTGACTACGGTAATATCAATAAGAAAGCAATCAAGATTTCCATTTGTGGTTCATGATATCATGCATGCACAGTTAGTGGTAGCCCAGCGGTTAAAGCGTTCGCTCGTTGCACCGAAGGCCCGGATTCGATTCCCCACATGGGTACAATATGTGAAGCTTATTTCTGGTGTCCCCTGAAGTGATATTACAGGCATATTGATAAAAGCGGAGTAAAACATAACTCACTCACTTAGTTATTGTGATGTGTAACACGCACATGTCGTTGATTTGGGGAAACACGTAAGTTATTAAACTTTCAATTATCAAACACATTGTGAACTACTTTTAATCTCATATTATTTACAAATAACGTAACCCATATGGATGGGAATGAATGTGTTAAGAGGCACCCTTGTATACAGGCGTGTGTCAGTTATGCATGACTACATCTACATGTGCTTGGTAAGTTCAAAGTCGGAAGGATGCATTTCTTAAGTGAAGTGAGTTTAGTTTTACGCCGCACTCAGCAATATTCCAGCTATAGAGGGGCGGTCTGTAAATAATCGAGTCTGGACCAGACAATCCAGTGATCAACAGCATGAGCATCTGCGCAATTGGGAACCGATGACATGTGTCAACCAAGTCAACGAGCCTAACCACCTGATCCCGTTAGTCGCCTCTTACCACAAGCATCAGTCACTATATGGCCGAAAAATTGCCGATGTGACGTAATGTTTTTTAACTCACTCACTCACTACTGAAGATCAATATTCTAACCTGGACCTTCAGGGGTCGCATTTCTTAATAACCAGATAGAAGATCATGAAATACACATATACAGTAAGTTCTCTGATGATTGCCGCTTTGTTGTAGTGATAAATTTACTTTTAAGCAGTTGAACTGCTCAGTGAGAAAACGTGTATTCAACTTCAGTACCTTCACGAATAATATGTATATATATGTTCACTGCATTTAGATACAGTCAGTATTTGTTACAAACTCGTTTGGAAATGAGACCTTTGTGTAACAACTCAGCTTATTGTTTGTAAAGCACCACGTCTTTTCGAAAACGTGTCCTTCGAGGAGCCATTATCGTTGATGTCGTCATCAGAGGAGAGGGAAGAAGAACGCGAAATGTTGGAAGTACTTTGCGAAAACAACGATCGAAATTTCTTTGTCTTCCTCTGATACGTGTATAAATCCTCAAATATCTTTTGAACACAGTCAACGCTCTCTCGCACAGAAATCTCGTAAAATCTCGCACATCCGAGCTCAGCTGCTCTCGCTCTTCCTTCTTCCGTCGAGATCATTCTGTCGTGGCAGCGATCTGCCTGGTTTCCTATTAATATCACAGGCGCACTTGAACACGTGACTTCCGGGAATGGCAGGCTTGTTGACTTCCGGTGATGGCGTTTAGCGTACGAGTTGATGAGGAAACGGAGACGTGAGCACTCGTTGAAGCTGCATCTGTCAGCGATAGAGTACAGCAGAATATATGCGTCCGCCCAACGGATGTTGTCCTCCGTGCGACTGTTTTCGTCCTGTGGTGTAAAGAAAACGTTATTCAAGTTGCATAGCCAAAAAAATAATAATTTGTCACAGCCAATTGTACACAAAGGCTTTGTGACTAAAAGAATATATCATTTTGATGGAAATTCATTTAATTTGAAAAGAAGTCCCAGTGAGGTTGGACATTCAGAACCTGAGGATAATATAGACTTACTTCATTTAGACAGATTGCAGTGTTGAAAGGAGAGGGTGGGCAGGAAAATAAACGGTTCACGGACTGTGAGACAGAGTGGGCCAGTGGCTATTAGTTGTTTCCTGACACATCGTCTGATATAAACCACTATATTAGTGCTGACATCGGCGGTAAGTCCGACTCAGGTATTAGTTTGTTTATGGAATAAATAATTTCAGTATGTGTATTTTATGGGTCAGGCAGGGAAAAATGAAACTTAATATTGTCGTCACGTAAGACTCGACAGTAATCTATAAAGTGCTCTAAAGTAGATATATTTTCCACATTCTTGGTTGTTAAGTTTGGCGGATCCGTTTACCAAGTTTTGGAAAACAAATTGCCTTTGGCTCTGTGAATTGTCTCGGAGAGAGTTAAATGGATGTTGTTGCCACGGGTAGCAATTTTCAAGCTGCCTGTGAAAACTGGAATTACGGTCACTATTACCCGTGACTCACGGGAAACAACAGACGCCGTGGGGATGGGGGAGGAGTGTACGGATATATTTAGTCAGATCAGGCATTACAACCAAAAAGACCGTCATCTTTGTCAGCTCCTTCGACGACCATTTGGCATAAGTGAGTCATCGTTAGTTAAATTCCCATAGACATGTTAATTAACATTTGCAAGAATAATTTTCATAAATTTAGTTTCTGTCGAATTGCTTTCAATACTTATCTACCAGCTGGGAATTCATCTCAGCTACATTACACATAATTTCCATTCAATGTTCCGATGATTATTAATAAAACTGCAACTATTTTCAAAACATATATTAGACATACATAATTAGGCTTATCATGGCTGTCTATGGGATAGATTAAAATTAAGTTGTATTTGTGCTTAATAAGGTGTGATGCGATGACTAATCAACGGAAAGATGAAAGAAAATTATGTACACGTAGCTGAAGATGATTTCAAAGATGTTTGCAAAATATCAAAATAAAATGACTTCTCCTCAATTTATGAAAATTATTCTTGCAACAGTTAATTAACATGTAAGTCTATGGAAATTTCACTAATGATGACTCACTTATGGCCAACTACTGTACATATTTGGTTGATCCACTATCTTTAAAGATACTTAATAAGGTGTGTTCAAGTCTGGGACTAACAATTTACCTTGACTATGATTGAACATGGAAAATAGAGATCGGGGCTAGTGTTTTCATTTTATGGATTTCCAATGCTATAAATATTGGTGGTGTCGAATTCAGTAGGTTCGGTGATCTGACAGTAAGGTTTAATATTTCAATTTGACCTGAACTACAGGTGATTGAAGCTGGGTGGGACATTTGTGGGATTTAAGATGAAGGTGCGTGGTTCGAAGAAGAATACTTCTGCGGGGCTGAAGACCATGGGTCTCAACAGGGAAGAATCTCGAATGCCAATGCGTTTTGCGGATCCTGGTACAAGCAAGGGGCGCAGTTATCTACTGAGCCAAGGGCCAAATGTAGTACTGGCAGAAGAAACAGTAGGAGTAAAATCAGTAGAATTACGGGTATAAAAGAAAATAAATTATGACTGAGAGACAGAAATGATTAACATTAATCAATCAGCTTCAGTAAATGTTTGGACATAAAGCTTATGTCAACGAAAGCCTTTCTAATCTAAACGGACACAGCATGCCCACGCAGCAATAGATCGCCAAACTACGGTGACCTGAACCTAACCTGTTAGAAAATGTCAGAGTTCTGAAGGTGTGGTGTGAAGGTCCTCTCGACCGAATAGTCTCAAAACAGGTGTGCTAATCTACTATATAAAGCTTAGAATATTTTCTGCTTCTCTGCTTAAACATAACCGTGCTGGAGAGTTTGATCTCCCCCAGGAAACGATTAGCACTCCTCACTTGCTCAACACCCTGTAAGGAGCTTTTTATCCCTCTGACGCCGCACGTGTTTGTTGTGGATCTCTCACCTGTCATTTTCTAAACTTTTAAAAAACAGTGTTGTGGATGTCAACTTGCCACGCTGTTGTGAAAAGTCGCCGTTATGCGAGAGAACGTGTGGCCACTGTATATTCAGGGTTGGTCCATGGCTTTTGTCTCTCAGGCATGCACGTGCTCAACGCGCGTTTCTTATCAGGCTGTTATTTCATTGGTTGGAACAATATTTGTGCGATCGAGAGGCCAATGTTTGAACTGTTGTCAACAATTTAAGTTCTTTGAATTTGCCTGAGGATGCGTGGAGCAAATATCACGCTAGAAATGGTAACCGTAATTGAACAATTTAGTATCATCGCCCATTCGGCGATAAACTTAAGATTCGGTGATCTTTAACGTCTTTGAGTAGTATATATGAACTATCAACACGATCAACGGTTAATCGTATAATATACTTATCTCACATTGTGTTTGACGTGAAAGAGATACTTACATGTAAAGGTACATTGAAAATAGGTTATGTAACATGATTACTGGATTTCGTATTATTATAAGCTATCCTTTCACTTTCCTTGCGTCTTAGTGACGTCAACATGGCGACAGTGTATTTCCTGTTATGAATAACGGTTTCGCCGAAAGGTGTCATGAGGTGTTTGTACTGTCCAATCATCTAAACAACACATATTAAGCTATTATGGACGTACCGTAGTCAGTGTATTAAGGAAAGGGGTGAACGTCAGTTCAGGTTTTGACCTGGGCCAACGGACGTTTTGCAATCTTCGTGCTTCCATGATCCCTAATCTACCATAGGTTTAAGGTAGTCATAGCGCTATGGTCGCTTTGTTGAAGCAGTCCCTGGACAAGATGTTAGACAGGCTCATGGTATTTTCTCAGCTCTTAATCCCTTCTTTTCTTTATCCCAATCAAATGTTTGACAACCAAATGTAATGAGGAAAAACCACTAGCTGTACTTATCCTGGCTTATTTCGAACCCTAACCTCTTGACCCGCCTGTGTGCAAAGGTTAGTCGTTAGCAGAGGAAATACGGTATGTTATTTCGACAATTGGTTTCGCATACCTGTGCAGCAGTGTCCAGAATTTCAAAGTGCATGCTCTCTCCCTCCACGTATCTGCTGCAGCTGTAGACCTTCTCTGGAACACATGACATGTATAGGTGTCTGAATGTCATGACAGCATGACAAGCTTACGTGTCAATCTGCTTGTGGTGGTGGTGGTGGAATTGGGTTTAACGTCGTGCTTGAGAATATTTCGCTCATATGACGACGTGCATGCGTGTGTATGTGTATGTGCGGCTGCTTGTACTAGCCCAGACTGAAGCTGGTTTTATAGTGCTAGCCCACTGAGATACCATGCCGCAGTGAAGCATGAATACCCCACTCAGACACATTATACTGACTCCGAGCCGACCAGTCCTTGTTGTACCCATTAATGCCGAGCGCCAGGCAGGGACCAACAAGTACCATATTTTAACGTCTTTTGGTATGACGCGGTCGGGGATCGAACCCGCGACCTTCCGCACTCCGGGCGGACGCTCTAACCACTACACCACGGAGGCGGTCGTCAATCTGCTTGTAAGGACATCACAACAAGCATATAAATTATCACTCTGTGCACCATGACATCCTGTGAAGCCTGTGTGATACTGTCAATATCGGCTTCACGACAAACCCGGGTGCTACTCGGGATATCATATCATGCCAAACCTCTGAATGGCAAGACAATGTTATGTGTTACTCGGTATGACGTTTCTCAATTCAAATGAGTTAACAGTTTTATGCCAGAGTTGGCAGTGTTCAAGCTATGCCAGTGGCAGATTGTAATCAGATTTGCCATTGAGCAAGTGCGTGAGTTTGGGTCTGATCCTGCTTTGAGTGAGTGAGTGAGTTTAATTCTACGCCGCTTTTAGCAATGTTCCAGCAATATCAAGGCGCATATGTCACAAACATTAAAACAGTAAGGTAAGCTACTTGGCAAGACAAGGTGGACAAAGAGTGAGTGAGCAATATTCCATTACAATCACGGCGGTGCACACCAGAAATGGGTAGCACACATTGTACCCATGTGGGGAATCGAAATGTTTAGTTACATGATGCATGCAACTGTAGTCAACTGAAACCCATACTAGGATCACGACAGTAAAACACATTTAGAAAGATTGTCCATATATATCCATAAAGCTTTTATTCTCAGAAAGAATGTTCTACTACCCGCACATGATTAAACAATGTACTACAGGCCTGTCGCCTTTCAGTATGAAATAAAGATTGAGACTTACCCAAGTACGGGTCATATTCACCGATAAATCTCCTCGTCATGAACCGAACTGTCAAAGCTGAAATTTAAAGCAATATGAATGAAGGAAATCAACAATGGGGCAAAAGACAGTTGATCTTGACCAAATTTATTCATGTGTTCAAACATTTAAAGGTCTGTTAAATTTGAGTTATTATTAACCATCTCTTATTCCTATAACAGTTTGTAAAAGTAATCTGTAGCTGGATAGTGTCGTGTAAACATATATTGGTTTTATGAAGACTGGTGTGAGATTTAAATTTGCAACCATGCAGGTGACCCAGATCTATACTACCCATCAAAAGTTTAGACTCGCTTAAATCAATCACTATAAGTTATGTATGTACATATGGTTACAACGAAGATGAATTTCTCCACTAACTTGGTGGAAACATCTGCAGACCTTATGCAGATTAACTGCACGAGGATCATGCATCAAATTGCTGAAAAGCATGTGCAAATATCGTGCATGTGAACAGCTGCGTTTTGGTGTAAAGTTTTGATAAAAAAAATCGTCATTTTTCACCGAGTTTCATCATTTATTGAACACATGATAACAAACTTTTCAACGTACCGAATTTGTTTTACAATTCATCAGCTCATGTATAAACAGTACCTTTAAACTGTATGGATTATTTTACAAAATCGAGTTTAGAACAGTTGACTGAAGTAAGTGGCTACAGTTACACTAGTGAGTCTAAACTTTTGATGAGGAGCATATATAACATATTGATTGCATATTTGTTCCAGTAATAGCAAATTTATTGCTTTCAAAGATATCTAAGATACCCACCAGTAGTTGCGTATTACTAGATTTTGTTTTCTTTAAAGCCTTGCAATCAAATTGTGTATCAGAAAACCTCAAGGTTTGAAAAACTCAATGTTCCTTTGCTATACCATATCGTTAACTTGGTATATCTTCAATTATAGGCTAAAATCAACTGAGGCACGGTAGATCTTCAGTTCGTATATACTGACGTACAAAAGAAAGTAGACACTTGGTTCTTAGGGATGATCTGCCAGTATATAATAATAACAACGACTCTCGTCTTCGTTTTTGTCAATTTAAATGACACGTTCTCTTTCATTCGCCAGGATGGCCACATGTTCGATCCGTCTCGATGGCGATCCTTCGCTTGTAAGCAGCACACGTGTTCTCGTGGCTTTTGCCAAACTGCCAAATGTCTGAGACTCCGGATCACTTTGGGCTTTTCCCTCGCATTAAGATGACGCGCCGTGATATAACTGAATTAGTTGTCAAAGAGAACCCCAAGGTATTCTCTTGTCTGCCTGTTTCTTTCACTGAGACGGCTGTCTCGTGTGTCAACATAACTTACGGTAAATACATGCATTTAAAATCCTGTTTATCTTGAATATTACTACGGATATGAATTCCTTGTATGGAACATCCCTTGATATAGTTTGTATTTATTTAATACTGATGGAGCCTGGGGTAAGGGAAAGAGGGGGTTGTTATGTAGTGAGAATTATAAAACAATTTATATCATATAGCTGCAGATCATTTCGTTATCGCTATTAATGTACATGCATTCGTTAGAATGTTCGGGCTCCCATCTGGCGTCGAGGGGAATAAACAAACGGAAACGTAAACTCTTTGGAAAAAAAATAATAATAATATGAAGCCCATTTCTGGTGTTCCCCCGCCGTGATATTGCTGGAATATTGCTAAAAGCGGCGTAAAAGCCAACTCACTCACTCTTTGGAGAAATATTTTGTTTGCTTGTTGTTTATCGAGACACTCTAGACAGTCTAGACCTTGATTCTAAATGTCTAGCATATGTAAACCAGGATTCGCTGTAACCACTGTGTTTAACGTGATTTGATTTTGTTTCCTTTGTTGTTTTACGCCGCACTCAGCAATATTCCTACCATATGGCGGCGGTTTGTAAATAATCCAGTCTGGACCAGACAATCCAGTGATTGCTTTCATTAGCAGCATCCCGAGCTGGATGGCAGGACGACATGCAATAGGCCAAGCCACCGAACTGGTCATCCGATCCCACAGGTCACCTGCTACCTGTTGCTGGACGCGTGAAGATCCGGGTTAGAATTGATCTTCAGCAACCCATACTTGTCGTAACAGGCGACTAACGGGATCGGGTGGTCAGGCTCGCTGACTTGGCTGACATGCTCAATTGCGTAGATCGATGCTTATGATGTTGATCCCTGGATTGTCCGGTCCAGACTCGATTATTTACAGACTGTCGATATATAGCTGGAATATTGTTGAGTGTTTCGTCAAACAAAAAGCAAAACAAAGAAAAACCTGTTGTTGGGGCCTGTTCTCAGCCTGAGCACCATAGTGTTAGACACAATCTGACAGCTACTATTCCTTACATCGAAAGATATTTCAAAGTCTTTACTACGATTCTGTGTGTCAATGAATGAACAACTACATAAAATGTTAAATCAAAATGTGTTATTTCAAATAATGTCTTGAAAAAATACAATTGACTTTCATATTTTGAAATCATGTTGCACGCATCTTATATCAACAAGGGTCTGTCTCACCGCACGTGACACGACGTCGACTGACGTCACAGTATCACACTGGACAGTAATAAGCACCTGAATGAGATACTGTCAGTTTGACTACATGTTTTTATCTGAAAGCAAATGTGAGGCGTGAACTGATCAGTTACAAAACAGTTAAACTAACAGCTTACATTCAATATTTACATTGTCATCGTAACACAGCATGATCATTACGGCAGTGAGGGGAACTTAACTATGTGCGGCAATGTAGTTGATAATCATGGTGTAACACTGCATAGTACTGTTTGTCTGTTATATATTCGTGTACGTAATCTCTTGAAAATCTGTCAACGCCGTCCACGCTGGTATATGCCTGAATGTGATCCCCCACTGCCTTATAATGGCCTGTAAGTTGGTACCCTGCTTTCATATTTACCTGGACAGGTAACATGCAAGGTGGCGTGCTGATGAGCTGTAAGGCTCAGTCAACAGGTCGGTTTGTAATTTGAGGACAATTGTCGGGGACTTGGTATAGCTGGGTTGGAGTGAACTTTCACAGCATGTTAGGCATTTTCATATTGTTGTCTCAGGCATAGTGACATGGAGTCATTGTTTTAAATTTATTGAATTAAATACAATATCAGTATGTTTTTCAATATTTATTATTGTTAGGTTTCCTATGTGTTGATGCACATGGGCTTGAATGAAGATGGGCATCATTTGATTTTATGTAAAAGTAATTATAGTTATGTAAAATATATATCTACATGTCGCAAATAAAATGAAAACTTGCACATTATCCCATACTTGGAAACAGCTGTCTGAACCCAATTTATATCCAAACAATCAGATGACAGCATTAACTAGATGTAAACTTATAACATTTTGATTGTCTTTCATGCCTCGTGCAAGCTGTTAGGTACGTTTCTGATAATTATTAATGTTATGGATTATTCTAAAATACATATCCCTCTTTTGATAATTCGTCAAGAAATTGAAATGTCTCCAGTCTGCTGTATGTGAATAACCACCTGGTGACCTTATCAAGACCTGATATATATGACCTTAAAACGGTAACGAGTGTTCCAAGGAACAAAACGCCTAACGCCACGAACTTCAAAGTAGGTTTTCTTACTTACCTGATTTTCCCACGCCGTTTTGACCTAAAATGACAATTCGGAAGGGTCGCTGTTTGGCCACAATAGAAATCTTTCTTAAGATTTTCGAACTTGAAACCGGGGAAGACATCGTCCCAAAGTCAGTGAGCATTTCTCCCCGAATCTTACTCTCTTGCCAAGTGCTGGATCAGTAAGCTAATCGGCTCACGATTTGGGCATTTACAGAACGGTTACAAGTTTAGGAGAGATCGGAACGGATTACGCACCACTTAGGAGTTGGACGAATGTTTTTCATAAACAGGGGGGTCAGGTTGAGATTCCAGTTTCATACGACCTGGTTTGAAAATAGAACCCTTATATATATTTGTGTTGTGTATATATCTATTACCTTGTACAGCATTTTGTTATAAAAATGTGTCCAGGATTCAAGTTTGTAATTGGTGATGTTAATACGTTCGTAATACTCCGACCCCTATTGTGCGTACTAGACTCGCCCATGTTAATATCACGGTGAAATAGACTAGCCCTTGTCAATATCTAACGCGACAGAGACAAACAACGGCATGCGGGGTTCGTACGGACGAGTTTGGGGTGATACAATGTTATTGGTCGCAAACAAATTTCCGTTAAGGAATGTAACACGAAAAACAATTAAATTTGATTTGAATCCCAGCGTGAACAAACAGAGTCCGACACAGGTTCCGCTATTATGTTGAGTATGAACTAATTTCGCGGGGTCAACTGAGGTTAATGAGGTTGTTGGCGATAGCGTTCAACATTGTCTTAATTGATTGCGGATTCCGATAGTGTTTTAATGTAAAAATATCCCATTCTAAACACACTTATTATTTTATAAAAAATAACAATTATGCAGTATTAATTTCTTTTAATTATATTTATTGCTTAAATGCCAAATGTCTATAATTTGTTTATAACTGTCATTCAAACAGAATCTTGGATCCGTCCGTAAATTGTATAAATTGACGTTTGTTTAATATTCTTTGTTACTTCGGAGATTAATATTAATTCGTTTGATGTCAATTTGAAACTGTTTATAATTTAACAGCACCCATTTCCACTCGACAACTCAAGCGGACTCTTTTTAGTTGACACCTAGGAATTATGATAAAGAGCAAGCCCGAGTTTCCCTCGTATATATCTTTATCGAGAGGCTGCGTGTGACCTTGTTCAAAAAGGACGTGGAGTGCTGATCAAGCTGTCAACCCTGTGTTAGTCGGCGCCCGATTATTTACAGGCCTATACCTAAATACTTTTGACTGAAACGTAAATTATTATTTACTCTCTTTCTCGCTCCTAATTGAAAATATGAAGTCAAAACAGAACTGATAAACACAAATACCCAGTAGAAGTCCTTAAGTGACTGAGTGAGTGAGTTAGGTTTTACACCGTTGTCAGCAATATTCCGGCAATATCACTCCTTAGGAGACCAGACAAGGGCTCTACATACTGTACCCATGTTGTCATTGAACATTCTACTGCACCTTTAATGATTGAGAGATTTTTGTGGCTAGAATACAGATGTTTCATGTTTGTTGCATCGGGAAGGCGAGCATTTTCGAATGTACGTATTTGTACTAGGACAGATGGTCCATGTCAAACAAACAACACATGTCAACAGCATACTCACACAATGACGTTACAGCACATGCAGTTTGTCTTATCAACTTGCAGAAAGAGTATTTGGTGCCCATTTGTTTGTTTTGTTCAAGGTTATAATCTTTAGTCAAGACTTGTTCACTGACTCCAGTCTCGCGACCACCATGTTATACTTCACCATGATACGTCGAATTATCTGGTTATATCGATTACCCTACCGTTCTGATTTTATCCCGAAAAGTCGAAATACATTGTTATCTTCAGGTAAGCTGTTGTTTAAACTGCACTCCATTGATCGTAGTTGGTGCATTGATAGGTCGAATTCGGTTATGTCGAGTATTTCTGGTTATATCGATTACCCTACCGTTCTGATTTTATCCAGAAAAGTCGAAATACATTGTTATCTTTAGGTAAGCTGTTGTTTAAACTGCACTCCATTGATCGTAGTTGGTGCATTGATAGGTCAAATTCGGTTATGTCGAGTATCCCGTTGCTCTTGTTACCTTGAAAATTCGCTATAACCGGTTAGCTATATGACCTTGATATGTCGAACTACCATGTTAACCATTTAAACCTGTTGCCCTGGTTTAGTTGGTTTAGCCGAATATCTCTGTGAATAGGTCGTGGAAGGTGCTGTCATTCCGTACCACCCCGACAAGTCGTTCTCTTTCACATTAAGGGTTACGGTTTTTGGATTTGAAACCGATTTTAAGCCGCATTTTACTTTCAACCCAGCGATATATATTCTTGCAAGTCCACAAAAGGCTTATAAAACTGCATATGTTGCCAGGTGTGGCTTATACATACACTCAATGGTGTGCATGTTAAGCTTTGTGGGGTACCCTGTCTTCAAAACTATAAGTAGGCTGGGCAGAGTAGCGCCCCTTAGGTGTTCCAGAAGCCTGTTAGAGACGGATGTCTAACGAATGAACATCTGGCACCGATGGCTTTGTACTTTGGTGAAATGAAGTCTGTGCTGGATAGGCCAGTGGTTGACTACATCAGAATCAGCACAAAGAATTAGTCGGGTCGTATTTATTTAACCACCTGATACCATTACTCGACAGGAATACTGTGAACCCTTGCCATGTTACATTTGTCTGCTGTGAAATTGACCACACGGAAACGTTAAAGCACTCCATCTGAAACGTTGACGGGTATTAACTATTGCTACATTAACTCAAAACGTTGCAAGTCATCGTTCAATTATCAAGACTGACTGACTGACTGACTGAGTTTGGTTTTACGCCGCTTTTAGCAATATTCCAGCAACATCACGGCGGGGGACACCAGAAATGGGCTTCACACATTGTACCCATGTGGGGATTCGAACCCGGGTCTTCGGCGTGACGGTTCAATGATCAAGAGTGAATTTGCTTGTACCAAGATACTGTTAAGAGTAATTAAGGTCATATAGTTGATAAAGCTCATGAACTCATAAGTTACCGAGCAAGAAAGAGTTGACCGAAGTACCATTAGCACGAATGTTTACGCACTAATAGTTAGCGGATCCTGGTTCGGCCAAGATACGAAATTCTTTACCGTAAGCCATGTGTCTTTGGCGACGGTACAGTGTATGAATGTGTGTAGTTTGACTCCCACCGTCGATGTAGCAGGAGTTGACGGCAAGGTATATTTCCTGTCAGGGACCTGAATCAGGTGAATATAACAATACGATCTTGATATATCAAAATCTTACAATCACTGATTCCTTTGTCAGCATTTGGAATTATCTGAAATATTATATATATTTTAAAAGAAGAAAACGTTTATCTCTTTTGAGATAAGAATTAAGTCAGGGCAGGACGCAATTTGTTTTATACTATTTCGATGATGAAGACGTTCAGTTACCATTCCCTGACAAACATATGACAGAGTTTTATCGAATGTAAACGTTGTTCTGTTTCGGAATGAGAGACTATCATTTCTGTGCAGGGTCGCCAAATCTAGTAAGTGAATGCATAAATGTTTTATTGCACCGGCGAAATCTATCCACTTTGTACAAGGTGTTTGGAGGCAACAGTTTGTCAACTGTAACCAAGGCGACAGAGAGTCGTACGTAAAATCCGCCTGAGACAGGATTTTGGAAACGTTAATCTCGTGCAAATACGTGCATGGCAATTTGCCAACCCCAAATTTGCCACACGCACGAGTTATCAGCACAGTGACATCAAACGGGTTTGACATTCATCGAGGTAGGTGTTTTTCTAATACAGTTGTATATGATTTAATTATTTGAAGCCCACTGAAAACAGATATAGTCTTGTACTTCAGAAAATGTCCCCAATGAGACAATTCTGGTCCGTGAGATACTAAGCTCCCCGTGAAGATCAGGATTCAGGGTGGGGATTGATCTTCAGCAGCCCATGATTGTCGTGAGTAGCGTCAAGCGGGATCGGGTGGTCGGTCAGCCTCGCCATTTTTGGTCAGCCATTTTCTTTTAAATTGTGCTTTTTACTATGATCTTAAAAGTAACTTTATAGATGAATTTAATTTTAGCCCAGATGATAGTGATCATTTGATATTTATTATGGTAATGAATACTACTGAAATCAAGGTTCTTAAACTTTTAGCTGATGCTATTAACGATATGTTCCGTAGAAGGCAGTTACATTCTTAATATATTTTACCAATGTACTGTTTTATGTATGTCATGAATACAATCGTCCAGATTGTATATTGTACATTTTTTTAGTTAAATTATTTTAGTAGTGTCTCGTAAGCCAATGTTATGGCTGGGTGATATGTGTTATCTAGACATATGAAATATTGTTTTACCTGTAACATATCACGTGACACTTTAATAAAATATTTCTGTCTGTCTGTCTGTCTTGTCGTGGAGGGGTCTTCATGTTATCAATGGTAGGCTTCCTAATGACGTCACGGGATTCCCCGTCTCGCTATGAGCGGGCTTTACAAGTTGGAAAATGGCATAAAATAAAAGCTGCAATGCGTCGTAAACGTGTACTTATTCCACAAATAAACAATCTTCATAAACAATAATAGCAATACTTAACAGAATTATTACGAAATCAGCTCTGCCAAGCGTCACAATACATATTGACAATGGGGTGTCTGGTCCACAATCGATTACTTACAAACCGCTTCACAAAGCTGTAATGTTGCTGAGTTAGACAAAACACAACAAATATGAGACACAAAGCTCTAGTGCGCATGCACCCATATATCAAATAATTTTACTTCTTTAGTACAAAAACAACCGCGCCCAACATAATATCCCCCGTTCCGTGTTTACTTTGTGTATTGAACCAAGAAACGTCTATGTGTTAATTGCGTGCACAAAGCCTCAGGTAGCGGTCACGCGTGTGATTGTTGCGCCGACGACAGTAACAGCACACTTCAGTCACTCAGGACTGGCTATTGTTCTTATTCGTAAAACAAATTCGGGGTACGCTGAAACATCTTTAGAATTAAAGCTGAAGAATTAAACATGGCATGTTTCAATATGACAACTATTGCAACTACTACTTTGAGACATATTTTAGTTCATTG